CAGGCCAGTGAAGCGCAAGGTCTGCTGTTCCAGACCAGCAGGATCTCCGTGGGATAAAGTTGAGGTGCTCTTGTAAAGAGTTACAGCCTCAGAAACCTATAGGGGCAATTTCACTCTGTCCTATAAAGTTGCTGTGAGTCAGAATCAACTCAATGGCAGTGAGTTTGAGTTAGGACCGAGAGGAAATGCCTATGCTGCCCATGGTGGCTTGGTTGGTGATGGAATGGGAGTCAAACCAGATGGGTTGCCAGATGGGCAAACTTCTCAGATTCTCTGAATCTGTTTTCTCATCTTGCAGACAGGAGTAATCTGCAGAATCTCAAAAACATAATGCTCAGTGAAAGGTACCCACCATGCAAGGCCACATATTACCATGCGATACCAGTCTTCTGCAATGCCCAGGACAGGTAAAGCTATAGACACCGAAAATGGGTTAGGCATTTCCAAGGGCTTGGTGGCATAAAGAATGATTGCGAAGGGGCACAGCTTGCCTTTGGGGGTGATAGACATGTTTTGGAACTGGCTGGTGGTGATGGTTGCATGTTTATAATATGCTGGATACCCCTGAATGGTGTGTTTTTAAAGGGTTCAATTTATGTGTTGTGGATTTCACCTCAATTGCAAATAATCACATCCGTGGCATAAGGCTGCTTGCTTCTCCAGAGGAAATGGGAGAATATCTGTGAGCCAGGCACGTCGGGGCTGGACATGTCCAGGGGCCTCCTTTCTGGTTGGGCAAAGCTGATGCATCTGTCTTCATCGCTTACAGAAAACAAAACTCCAGGCAGAGTTTTTACCCAGTTCCTTTCTCAGCATCTTTGTTTGGTCAGCCAGTCGTGTCTGGGCATTTGTTGTTATCTATTGGACCAGTGGATGGATTTATGGTACAAATGCCTCCCCCCAAAGGACTGTGCAGCACATAATTCTACCCAAAGTGCAGGCAAGAGGTGTACACCAAAACCGCTGACATTGGACGAGACAAATTCGTACAGCAAAGGGCTGGGTCTTGAATCCTGGCTAGGGAATATGACACCGAGCTCGACCTATTCACCAAGCCTCCTGGCACTGAAACAAGGAAGGTAGCATAGCTTTCTTTGTCTTGTGCTTCCTGTGCTACGAATGACCACATCTCTTCAGAAGAAAGAAGCAGATTTCTTTGGGCCTAAATCCTAAAGAGAATTTGAGATGGAGTACTGTAGAACTTGATAAATATATTTCGTGAGCAAGTTTAACAATTAAACAGGGGAGAGTGCTGTGGTTTCGATGGTGTCACCTGCACAATATGTGTTGGGATCCTAATCCCTGTACAGTGAGGGAGCCTGGTTAGGAGTGTGGTGAGGCATTGGGCTGATCACCTCAAGGTTGATAGTTCAAAGCCGTGGGCCACTCTGCAGTAGGAGGAGGAGGTGGTGGCATAAGCCCATGGATGATTACAGCCTCAGAGACCCTATGTTGGGCATAGTGGATGACGTGTTGGGCTACTAACCATAAGGCTGGAACACCCAGTGCTCCTTGGGAGAAAGACCCTGATTTCTTCTCAGGTAAAGAGCTAGAGCCTTGGACGCGTCTGTGGGCAGCTCTGCGCTCTCCTGTAGAGCCACTAGGAGTCCGAATCAGCTTGATGGCAGTGAGCATTTCTTGAGTCAAAGCCAGCTCCATAGCAGTGGGTTTATACCTCTAAATGTGATCTTGTTCTGAAATAGGGTTTTGATTCTTATGTGAATTAGATTCTATTGACGTAAACAACCCCCTGCCACTGACTTCATTCTGACTCCCATTGTTGTTGTTGTTGTTGTTGTTGTTGGGTGTCATCAAGTCAGTTCCCACTCAGAGTGACTCCATGTACAATAGAGCAAAACACGACTGAGCCCTGTGCCCGGCTCACGATTGGTCATGTGTTTGAGTCCATCACCACTGTGGCCACTGTGTCAGGCCATCAGGATGTCCTCTTTCTTGCTGTCCCTCAGCTTTACCAAGCACGGTACCCTTCTCCAGGGACTAGTCTCTCCTGAATTCAAGTCCAAAGTATTCAAAGACTCCCTTCCTTTCCTCTTGCTTCTAAGGAGCCTTATGACCGTCCTTCTTTCGAGACACATTTAGCCTTTTGTTTTTCAATATTGTTCTCCAGCATCATAATTCAAATGCGTTGACTCTTCTTCTGTCTTCCTTATTCAGTGTCCAACCTTCTCATGCCTATGGGGGGATTGAAAATGACACCCAGGGCTCAAGCAGAAAGCAGATGTTTGGAGAATGACGATGGCAACAATTGTACAAATGTGCTTGACACGATGGATGTATGAGTGGATTGTGATAAGAGTTGTATGAACCCCCAATAAAATGATTTTTTTTTAAAGAAAAGAAAATACTGTGGCTTGGGTCAGGCATATTTTAGTCCTCAGTTAGCAACCTTGTTTTCAATACTTGAAAGAGGTAGTGTGCATCAGATTGGCCCAGTGCAAGGGGTTGTTTGATCTCTTAACTGCTGCTTTGATTGTGGATCCAACTAACAGAGGCTTAAACTACAGAACACCATCGTTAATATCACATGCAAGGATTTTGCTTGCGATCATCCAACAACAGTTGCAGAAGCAGTACCTTAAAAAGGAGCTGCCAGAGGTTCAGGCTGGATTCAAAAGAGGACATAGAACAAGGACTATCATTGCTAATGGATCCTGGCTAAAAGCCAACAATATCAGAAAGATGTGTGCTAGTGTTTTATTGACTATGGATAGCTTAAAGAAGGGGGAGAATCGCAGGACAGTACGTGCAGAACCTGTACGTGCAATAAAAGGCAGCTGTGGGAAGAGAACAAGAGCATGCTGCATGCCTTTGTTTAGAACCAGGAATGGTGTACATCAGGACTGTATCCTCTAACTGTCCTCATTCAAGCTGTATGCTGAGCAAATAACCAGAGAATCTGGATTAAATGAAGAAAAAACGAGTCATCAGATTGAAGAAAGGCTTTCTAACAACCTTCAGAGTGCGGATGACACCACCTTGCTTGCTGAACGTGGAGGAAGACTTGAAACACCTGCTGATGAAGATCAAGGCGTGCAGCCTTCAGCACAGATGTTCTCAATGTAAAGAAAACCAAAATCCTTACCTCTGGACCCGTCAGTAGGCAACACAATGTTAAGTGGAGAAAGGATTGAAGCTGTTAAGGATGTTGTCGTACTCCGATCCACAATTCTGACGTACAGCAACCTTCAAACAGAACTATCCATCTTTGCAGTTACGGAGTTTCTGGGGTTCTTTCCTTCCTCAAAAGGGGTCTGTTGGAATCCCCAGCTTTTACTGTGAATGTCTATTTTCCCTTCTGTTAATGTTTGACTTACATCTTTTGGTGCTCTTTCCTTGGGTGTATAATATCTATGATGGTATGTCGTCCTATTTAAGTGGTCCTTTAATCATTATATAATGCCCCTCCAGACTTTAATGCTGGGTTTTGTCTTAAAGTCTAGTTTATCAGTAATTATTGATGGTCTACTTTCTAATTTTTGGTTGTCATTTCCCTGATGTGTTTTTTCCATCCTCTGATTTTTAGTTTATTTTTCATCTGTGTTTCTAAAGTGCATCTCTTGTAGGCAATGTGTGCAGGGATCCTGTTTTCTTATATTCTGCCACACTCTCTTGACTGATGTATTTAACCCATTTGCATTCAGTGTAATTATTGAGAAGTATGAATTTGTTACAGTAATTTTGCTGTGGATTTTTGGGGTTTATTTTGTCTGTGGGTATGTGGTGCTAATTATTCCTTTGTCATGTGTATTTTTCTTTACCGAGTTCATTTGTTGGTGGATTTTCTTTTCATCCCCTTTGCTGTTGGTTTTCTGCTTAGAGTCTTTATGATTCTTTTCTTCTTTAGGGTTGTTTATTAATTTTTTTGTGGCTACCAAGTAATTTATTTTTATCTTCTTAAATTGAAAACAATGTGTTGTCTCTTCCTATCAGCTCGGCTTCCTTAACTGTTTAGAAATTCTCTAAGGAGACCCTGTCGTTGCCACCTACAGGCTCACATTTCTGGTTGTCTATTTCTGGTCTTATAGGTTCCTTTTCTTTATGAAAACTCTAGATCTGGGTTGGTTCCCAGGTGATTTTGTGATGGGTCCTGATCTCAGGTGTTTTTCTGACATTGCTGGTTTTCTGTCTGAAGCAACCCCTTGGACAGTTCTTGTAAGCCTCCTCTAATTTTCACCAACTCTCTTTATTTCAGTTTACCTGGAAATACCCGGTTCTTCCATCATGTTAGAAGGGTCATTTTGCTGGGTACAGGATTCTCGATTGGCCTTTTGGGGTTGTTTGTTCATTTCCCAGTTTCTGAGATGTCATCCTATGACTTCTTGACTGCCCTGCTGGTCCATCAGAGCTTAGCCTTACTGGTTCCCTTTCTAAGGCAGCATTTCGTTTCTCCGCAAGCTGGATTCTTTCTCTTTGTTTTGGAAAGTGTGACCGTGTTATATCTTGGTGATCTTGTTTTGGGGTCTATCCTATTTAGTTTTGTTAAGATTGAATTGATAACTTCTCAGCCTGCATGATATGATGACATTTTTCTGCCCCCACCCCCCACCCCCAATCTGACCATTTTCTCTTTTGGATTGCTTATCTGCTTCCTCACTGCTGCTGCCACTGCCGCGGCTAATGCTGGTGCTCTGCCTCCTCTTCCCCATGCTGCTCCTCCTCCTCTTCCTGTTATTCTTTTCTCCTTCCTCTTCCTCCCCTCCCCTGCCCCCTCCAGATCTTCTTCTTCAGTGTCTTTGTCTCCACCACCCCCCCACCCCCCGCCTCCTTTCCCCCCTCCTCCTCCTCCTCTTCCTTCATTTCTTCCTGTCCAAGAATCCTGATTGTTCATGAATTCTTCTTCTTGAGGGTGTGCCACAGAATTTTTAGGCTTTCTTCAATTATCTTCATTTTTTTCCTCACTGTTTCTCTAATACAATTGGTATCAAGGGATATTGACTCCGTTTTCTAGTTATTCTACTCTACTTATATATATTTTTTTACCCCGTTTGAAGCTGCCCGAGCTCCACGCGCACCGAGGGGCAGCTTCAATGTTTCTTTCCCCCTTCCACGACCACCCAGACCAGTGTTTTGATCCGATGGGAAAGGGATCTGGAGGGCTATTCTATGTCTTTGTCCTTTCTACCTTGTCTACGGTTTTGAGATTTTAGTGTCAATCTTCTGGACATCTAGTTGCTATTTGGGGATGGTTTCGCTATTCACTTTATCATGTTCTTGTGCTGTTGTCCCGAACTCTTCTCGTGTTGTATCCGTGTTTTCCTTGGTCTCTTGGGTAGCCGGCCCTGTATGTGTGCTTTTTTGACTCGCTGTCAGAAAGTTCCCTGGGATGTCCTTCCTCAGAAAGGCTTCCTGTTCTGTTGCGTTGGGTCACTTGCTTGAGTCATCTTACCCTGTTTCTTTGTGTGGCTTCAAGTTGCCTGTTGTTTCCAAGACAACTTGGAATTGTTAAAAGAATTTGTTATTGTCTTTTTTGCAGGTCGTGTTGCCGGTTTGCTTTGCGAGATTTTTTTGGTTTGGTTTTGATGTATCCAGGCAGGCGAGGCGACCATGGTTTCTGGTTCCTAGTTTTCTGGCGCAGTGCTCACCACCTGTCTCTCGGTGAATGAGGAAGTGGATGGGCGGGTGGGTGAGGGTTTGTTTATCGGTCACAGAGAACAGCAGTCGAAGGAAGCCTTGGTGACTGTTGGTCATCATCGACCACCCTCTGCCAATGATCCAGGGGTGTGGGGGCAGATGGTGGGATGGCAGATGGCAGGTGCAGCCAGTGTGGCAGGTAGAGCTGCTAGCAGAGTAGCTCTCACTGCCTCCCCTGACTCTGGACCATCTGAGTGTCTGGTATTCCTGCTCATTTTCATACACTTCCCTTCCTTAGATCTCGCTCATGCTCAGCTCACCTTGCTTCGCTCTGAATTTGTCTACACTGTGTTTCTGTCTTATTGTGAACAATATTTTACAGACATTATTCACTACCCTCATGAGATGGGAGGCTATTCGGCATCTGTTCTCTTCTGCTCTATTATTTAAATTGCTGGCCATAACCTATCAATTGATTTCATGATCTGAAAATGAATTGTGACTCCCAGGTTAAAAAACGCTGATCCAAGATGTTAGGCAAGAACATATTTCTATAAAAGCACTTAAGAGGCGGGGCAGGAAAGAGTGGGCCTAGGTGTCGAGGGGCCTGGAAGTAATTAATTTTTTTATTAATATCTATTTCTCATCCTTCACTGTCTCTTCTTCGGCCAAGTCAGTTCTGCATGGGCCAGCATCCCAAGAGGGACATCTCTGGAAGCAGCCACCAGCCCGTTGTGAGGCCTCCTCTCCAGAGGGATGCGTCTAACAGTTGGATATGCATCCGACTTTCCCGGAATCTGACCTAGGACCACGTTAGCAGAAATACCACAGTGGGGTGGTGGCTTTAGAAAACACTAATATATTTTCTCACCACGTTGGAGCCTCCAAGTCCAAATCAGGATGTGGGCCCAGTTGCTTCCTTCCCCAGACGCACCTTGGTTTGTAATGATCCTCTTACTGCTTCTGCTTTCCTGTTTCTGTTTATGCTGCTCTTTGATAGCTCAGAAGTGAGGAGGGTTAGCGTCCACCCATGACCTCAAAAGATGGATTGGTTCCACACTATTAGAGTGCACTGTGGGAAGATGATTGCACTGCATTTGAATCATCCAGAGGGAGTGGGCAAGAGCCCCGACCCTTTTTCTCGCTGGGACACAATTCAGCCCATACCAATGAGTCCGGTGGGATTTCATTATGCATCCCAAGCAGCCCTCTGCTGCCCCAGGGGCTGCTGGTCCATGGACCATACTGTGACTAATAAGAAAATAACTATTTTAAAGGAAAACACTTTTTTTTAAAGACAAAACTTTGTACTTCCAAGCTGCCTCCTTGCAGCTCTAGCCATCTCTCATGTAAGTTGCCTTGTCTACATCAATCAAGATTCCTTTAAGAATCCTCTTTGAGGATTGTTGTTTTTTTTTTAAAGGGTAATAGATTGGAAAGCCACAGGTAGCTCCTAGAACTGACATAAAACTGTTCAGCTCCAGCTCACAGAGGACCTGAAGCTGGACAGCTCTGGACGCAATAGCAGAAACGGAAGGAGACTGCCTTCTCAGTGGCAGTTGGAATTGACCAGCACCCAGGAGTCCTGGGAGTGTAGGCGTTACACGCTGGGATGCTAACCATAAGGTCAGCAGTTTGAAACCACCAGTCAGTGACTCCTTGGGAGAAAGGTGAGGTTTTCTATTCCCATAAAGCATGGCAGTCTTGGAAACCCACACGGGCTGTTCTACCCTGTCCTCTGGGGTCACGAAGAGTGAGAATGAACTTGAAGACCAGGAGCATGCGCACGGGCAGTTCCACGTGAAATGCTCATCTTCCCACAGGAGAGCCAGGTTGGGTTTCTGGCTCATACACAATCACCACTTGAGGTCTTGTTGCCGTGATGCTAATCAGCTTCCACTGAATCTTACCAACTGAGACATATTGGGAAGAACAGCCTAGTGATGGGCTTCCACCAATCAGCTGATGAAACGCCAGGAATCCTAATGCTCCAGGCAGGGGCAGCGTTTCATTCCGTTGAGCGTGGGTTCACTATGAGTCAGGGGCCCAAAGGCAATGACAGTCACTCCTTTGGTCCTTGAAGTAATGATCCAAATTCCAGGGAGAGTCTAAATGAGCTAGCCTGGGTGATCGGCTGACCACCTCGACCTCCTTACACTGGAATGATCGAGTTCATTGTCATCAGACCCAGCAACTAAACTTAAGATTGTTCAAATTCCAAATGATGCCGAGAGAGAGAACGAGAGAGATGGTGTTTGCTGAGTGCCAATGCCCTGCCAGTCCCATCACAGTATGCTAACTTTATCCTCCCAATAAGCCCATGGTTCTCCACGGAGATCAACCGTGTTCCCAGAGGATGTTTGGCAATCTCGGAGACCTGTCTGGTTGTCAAAACTGAGGAGACTACTGGCTTCTAGTCGACAAAGGCCAGGGATGCTGGCAAACGCGCTAGGACGCACAGGACAGCCCTCGCGTAGCGTAGAATTACCCACTCCAAATTGTCACAGCGCTGAAGCTGAGAAACCCTGCAAGAATGGGCCTACAGTTGGTGGTGACTGCACCATCGTCCTCATTTTACAGGTGGCTGAAAGTCAGGTCAGAGCCACAAGGATGGAAGGCAAGCAGGTGACAGAGCCGGATTCTGGACCCAGATCCATTGGTGTTTGGACACACTGACTCCCTGTACTTTTGCAAAGTCACCTTCCAGCCACACCTGGAAAAGGCGCACTCATACAGGAATCTGATAAACCTGCCCCCAAACGTGTCAGCCCCCCCACCCCTTTGCTATCAGATCTCTTGGGTTCTAGTCTGAAGCTGCTCCGACCCACCAGTTTTTAATTTCCTGCGAACACGTGCAAAAGCTGTGAGCGCTGAGGTTACCTGAGACAGCTGTCTTCACGCTGGTGCAGAGAAGCTACGCAGTGATTAATAGGCAAGGAGCTTCCGGAAGCATCCAAGTGGAAGGTATTCAACTGGCTTATTCTCTTTTAAGATTAAGACGTATAAATGGAAAATAGCA